CTGCTTGAAGCCAGAAGGGCGTTCACTCATATCTTTTAACGCAGAGTTAACGCCTTACGGCTCTAAACGGACGATAGATAGGGATGTCGAAGGAAATTCCATTTATATTATATCTCCTCTACCTCATCCATATCCCTCCCTCTCCTTTATTTTTTCCTACTGTTCACTGCACTTTATCCTGTTCCTTGTGCTTCCCCCTTGCCTATTAGCGCGAGACAGATTCTTAAATACATTCCTAGAGGAGCGACGCAGCAAGCAATTCTCTGCCCCATCTCCTGAATACATACGCCTCCCCCGCGGAGAAGTATCAACAAATGCTCCACTGCCAACCCCGCAACATTAGCCCATGCTTTGTCGGCGGCCATCGCAAAAAGCGAAGAAGACGCCACGTCGTCGATTCATCGGTGTTGAAATCTCACTCAATTGACGACAGGGCTGTCGGCCAATCGGGGGCTGATGAGCTGAGATGAGATCTGTTATCATGCAGGCATTAAGCTCGCTTGGAATTCTCATTTACGCTTGGAAATGTTTGCACAGTAGGGCTCATCTAGACAAAAAGAAGTGTTCACACTTCATAGGCCTGTCATCATCAGACCGAAGTTGCAAGATAACCCGCTATTTTTTTATAGCTAGCCGATATCAAATTACCCAGTTCATTTGCGTCTTCATCAGCCCGCAGTTGCAATCAGCAGGCTATTTGGTCGAGAAAATATCCTGAGAAATTTTGGTCTTGTTTCCAAAATATCCCGCTATTTGGGTAATAGTGGGCTAATTTGCGCCCATCCGAGCTAATTTGTGATGAAGACGCAATTTTGAAGTTCGGAAAACTATCCGGAGTCTGAAAAGAGCCGGTTATTTTGCAACTTTGCCTGATGAGGACAGACCTCTATGTTATGCTTCAGGGCAAGTCCACACTATTTTGTCCTAAACCATTACCGAACCGACTACATGTACAAGTACATCAAAGATTTTGGTATACATCAAGGCACATATTCATAAAACCATACATGCTCAGTATTAAAGCTAGTTGTCAACTCATTATGTGCCATAGTATAGTACACATGACTCGGGTCAATCTGCTCTGATGATCGACCCCATCGAATAAAACATAAAACGATAGAATTTTATGAGGCATTTGTAGACGCACAGCTGGTACTATAATCTTTATAGTTAGACAAGTGGCCTTCAGGTTTTGTGAATACGAGCCCTGAAAACAATGTACTCTATCAAAATGATAGCCCAACCAGAGCTTGGGTCAGATACAATACAATAGTTGCTGATGCACCCTGTAGTTTGGTTATTCTCCAACACAAAACTCAAATCACCCTACACAAAGTCTCATACGAGGGAATTGAAATAATGTTTTGTTGCACCCTGTAGTTTTGTTGTTCTGCCACACAAAACCCCATACACTTTACAGTAAGAGTATAATATGATGCAAAAGAGGGAACTTATATCTCAAAATGTATTTTATGATGCACCCTATACTTGTGTTATTCTGCAACACAAAACCCCTTAACCCTAAACAGGCCGGGCTATTTGAGGTCTTAGTACGGCCGGGGGGGGGGGGCATTATGGCCCCCCTTAAGATCTCGGCCGCAAAGACTCGAAAGAAAAAAGTCAGCGAGCGGCGGGGCGCCATCCACATGCGTTTCCGAGCAATCAGAAAAATTGTGGAGGGGGCCTTATTAGGGTTAATACATTTTACAGTTAAAGAGTATCATTATTATATGATGCAAAAGAGGGAACTTATACAGGTATCTCAAAATGTATTTTATGATGCACCCTGTACTTGTGTTGTTCTGCAACACAAAACGGGGAAGAGTATCGCATGAGGCACAAGAGAAGGGTATGGAGAGGGTATGGAGTATACTAGTAAACCATTGCATCGTAACGACGGTGTCATACACGCAGGTGACATACACGCAGGTGTGCTAGAGCTAGAGAGGTTTAAGGGGAGAAGAAAAGAAGGCAAAGAAAAATGCTGATCTTGGTGTGAATGAAGTTTGACAGGTTCACATACATCTTGAGTGAATAGCTAGATACAGAGTACCAGGACATGTACATGTACGTTGGCATAAAGCCCAGGAGAATGCAAATGAATGCTGTAAACAGTATTACAATGTACATACTGAACATGTACACCTATGACAGTGTCATATTAAGCATGCATACAGTGTACAAGAAATGAAGGACGGGGGGGGGGGGGGGGGGGGGGGGGACCTTCTTCACAGCATCTGTTTTGAATGAAAAGAATTTCCAATTTACATGTTTAAGAGCTAATCTGAATAACCGTGAATCAGGTTAAAATTGGTTTTGCCTGGCAATGTCTATCGATTCTGAGAAGAAGTGGTATGTAGTTTAACATACAATGTAAATGTGTATGGAAATTAGGATCCGGCGGTATGCTACATGTACTAGATGCTGAATTCTGTACTGTAAAAGCTGCAGCACTATTAGTTTAAAGGGCAACACAGTTGGTCAAAATCATAGATTTCAAAAGGTGTTGTGCTCTCAGCGCGTGCATGTACATGTACATGGACATACTATACATGTACAGTATTGTATGTATAGTCTTTAATATTCAAAGGCTACAATAACGATCATGTACAACATAACAATAAAGTGCTAATTTAACCTCAATAAAATACAAAATGAAAGCAAAACTTAAAAGAGAAGTAGACTTGGATAATCTCTTGTTTTTTCTTTTTCCCACACAGAAACCGATCTCAGCCAGACACTCACATGACACAAAAAAATAATCTTTGTCCATTTAACGCCAGAAGGACGTTAATTATGCAGTACAGTACAATTGTCTATTATTAAAACTCCCTTCATTCTCTCGGCTGACCAGTTACAAGGTTTATTACGCCATCACTACCACAATGGGCCCGTCTTCACTATCTCGAGATTGCCAAATATCCAGCTATTTGAACTATCCCGATCGAAACTATCCAGCTAATTTGCGTCTTCATTAGAACGAAGTAGCAAATTAGCTGGATAGTTGGTCGGGATAATATCCCAAGATATCTCGGTCTATAGTTTGCAAAATATCCCACTACTTCCCAACTAGCGGGATAGTTTGCGACCATCATCATTAGACCCAAGTACGGAGTCAAATATCCCGATCCCATCATGCACAACGATTTCCGGCGCACATGCGATCTATACTGCTCAGCGCGCTAGTAAACTAAACACGGAAAACCGGAAATTTGGCAATCTCGAGATAGTGAAGACAGGCCTAAATGGCCTTTCTTGAAGCCACAAAATTAATGAGCTATTAAAGTTCAAAGCGAGGTCATGTAAAATCCCTCCTTTATGGCTGTTATTTCATAATAAAAAAATGACATCACGGTCATCACAACAACAGAATAATTCAGCCTAATTTCATTTCCTTTCCTCGCCTTGTTCAAAACACAACACTCATCATGGGATTCTAGGATGACAACATGTGTTGCAACACAATGCATTGCATAATTATAGTCTGTATTCAAGCACAGACTCTCCTTTGACACTTGAACTCAATTCCATGAAGTCTTGAGCCCAGCCTACATGTAAAGTCTCTGGTTGTGTCAAAGAAGAAGCAGCTACAGACTTTATACAGTACATCTTTTTCACATGGTATATTGACTGCACACTCTACGCAGAGAGATGTGAGTTCATAGGGTGTGTACGTTCAAGCAATTTTTTGAAGCTGGAATCACAAACATGAATCACAAATTTAAAAAAATGTTACAAAACATGGCTACTGCCAATTCTGTGGGAGATTGTTAAAGCAATTTTCCATCTAATGTCTTTTCGCCTTTTCCTATTTCCCTTTACCTGTATGTTTAGTGCTTAATGTTTTAATGTTTTTTTTTATAACTAAGTTTGTTTGTATCTCATGTTTATGCTATGTATATTTCTTTAAGTATTGGGGGCCCCATTACTCGAGCCTTGCCTTTTAGGGGCACCCTGACCATTTACTGTAAATCAATAATGTTCATACACGCATGATTTATATACTGTTGTTGATTTAAAATGGTTTAATAAAACAAATTGAATTGAATTGAACATTTGTTAATTACCGCAAACAAGAATATGATTCGAACTATTTAAACATAAAGTGCAGAATAATAACGCAGCCAAGTGCCATTTAATCTGAAACACTTGCTCACTTATTTCTCTTTTGTCAAACATTAACATTTACCAATTACCATGGCAACTGTTAAAAAAATAAATGAATGTAGATTAATGCTGCTTCCTCTGAAAAAATGTATTTATTCTGTATATATCCTCCCCCCCCCCCCCTTTTTCAACTCTCTCTCTCTCTCTCTCTTCCTCGCTCTCTCTTTCTTTCTTTCCTCCGTACATATCTCTCTCTCTCTCTCTCATTCTCTCACTCTTTCCCTCTCTCTCTTATTCTCCCCCCCCCCCCTCTCTCTCTCTCCCTCTCTCTTTCTCCCTCCCTCTCTCATTCTCTCTCTCCATCAAGATTTCTCAAACACCACTGGTACATGTACTGTACATGTGTTTGTATATTTATATAACTATGAACTTCCTATCCCTGGGCAAAGGGGGAAGTAAAATGCATAAATCATATCTCTTCATAAATGACAGCTCCGCAATGTGCAATAGATGGAAGAGCGAACAAGAAAAAGGTTAAGCCTCTCAAATAATATTTACTAGCAGTAGCGCTAAGTATCTTTGTTATTACTGGGTGATGACATGCAAAGCAATTCAACCATGGAAACCAGTATACGGTGGCTTGCTCCATGGACGCTCCAAGCTCAAGGGGAAACGTTATCTAATATCTATACAAACGTTTCGCAATAGAACATTGCAAAATACACTGTATTACAGTATGAAACATGAAGCGTGCATACATTATTGGCAAATTTCACAAGGGGTAATACTATTCATGAAAGTTTCATGGCAGGAAATAACAATTTACATGAAACTGTATGTAACCCGAATGTCACAATTTCCCAGGTCCATAAATAAAGAAATCACACTTGAGGTTACGTTTTAACAAAATAACCTGGCAATGCCTTTATTAGCTCGTTGTCAATAACAACTGCAAATCAAGTAAACATTGAAATAAACAAAACTTCCACATCTTACATCTATAACATTATAAGGTATTATAACTTATAACTAGAACAGCTGTTATCTAAATATTTAAGTGACCAAATTATTAAATGTTCATAAGCTCGCTCGCGATACGCGGTCGATCAATATCCGGCGTCTCTGTGTCGTCGAAGAGGACGTCGCAGCACGCAGAAAACAAGAACAGGTCGAACGATAGCTTGAAGCTCGATGAGATTCATCAATTAAAAGACCCTAGTAAAAGAGCATAATAAACAGAACTCTTCTAATAAAACATTCCTTAAGAGAGGGAAAGATAAATATATATATATATATATATATATATAACAAGCTCGTCCCTCAATAGATTAAATTTAGAAAAGAATGACAGTTTGCCTCTTGATTTATCTAATTAACTTTGGAAGAATCAATGCGATTCTGTCAACTTAATTTACTCAGTTATACTTATAACTTAGTTTAATTCATGATTAACATGATACAATCCTTTTCAAAATAGCACTTATACCACGTTAGTAAATATAAATAAAATATGTATACATCACAATAATTGCATGCAATGAAGATAGCATAATGCACCAACTGTTCAGTAGAGTTTTCATTCATATCATTATGAGCTATAATGAATGCGATAGGGATGCCACAGATAGATAGCTCGATCTATCTGATTGACCTGACCATATCGCTTGATTTAGAATTTGCCAAAATAACATTTGACTTTTACAATTAATGGAAAAGTCCAGCAAATGAATATGCATAATAATGCTCCACGCTGCGCATAACCATAATGAACAGCAAATACACATTACCAGTAAATCAGTAGATAAGGTTAGTAAATCTTATCTACAACCAAGTATCTCAAACCACCAAATTTAGTGAGAGTTCAATGACCTCTAGCACGAGTTGCCATTACCCTAAATAAAAGCCAATTATCTTTCAGCATGGGCTATTTTAGGGCTTGCATGCTATGCAGTATAATAACTGCAAAATAATCTCCCATAATAATCTTTTCTTCTCATTTAACTGAATTGTTTGATCAGCAGAAAGAATCAATCTTGTATAACACACATCTGAATTAAAAAGGTTATATAATGTATGCTACAGTCTCAAACTACACTCAGAGTCATACAAGCAAAATATAGATATCATCATGATATACACACTTCATACAACAGAGTAATGAAAACATACATAGCAAAATATAGTGTTCTTACCTAGTAAAAGAGCCAACACTTGCTTGCAATATAAAATCAGGAACTGGGATGATAACCATGCAACTCATAAAGGTTGAAGTTGGATGAAATGCCCAATCAAATATAATACAGGAAACTCTCTCAAAACTTAGAGAAACTTGAAGAAGGTAAAGTTGATATATACGTTTTGTATATATATATATATATATTTTGAAGAAGAAAATCAGGTAGAGGCTACAGATATATTTAGTAGCACATGCTCCAACATGGAGATTGAATATATACAGGGCAGTGTTCGAAGCAATGGCAGCTGGGCAGAGAATGAGCTGGAAACTTAAAGTTTCAAAGTTTTATCAAACTGTCCAGACCCACATTACCCTTCCTTCCAACTAGACTTCTTATTGGTTACCTAACATCATGTGATAGGACCAAGCTTGCATCCTTAACTAAAACAACCCATCCTTTGTCTCAAACCCAATACTCCAAGCCAGCTCTCTACAGCATGGTCTAAAAAGCTCGTCTAGATCTTTTCTTAGTACAACCACTTAAAACTATACTTCTTCTGAATACAGAGATTAACAGTAGCAACATCCTGAAGGGACACAATCTACCTGCAAACACCACTTAAGTAAAGAGGGTCCTATTAAAGGGAATAGACAAAGGGGAAAGGGCACCGAATTCTGTGGGAGACAATATAATCCCAAACACTGTGTCCAGTGTTATTGATGGTCAAAGCTCTAGCAAATAAGCTATCTACCAGCAATAGTTCCTAAACTGGGAGAAGAAAATAATCTGGGTGAGAACAAACCTATATTGCACTAAACTGCATAAGGAGCACAAAGCAGAGTTTGTTTCTTAGAAGTATGAGATGAAATGAATGGATACAAAGAGAGAGAGAGAGAGAGAGAGAGAGAGAGAGAGAGACAAGAGAGAGATAGGAAAAGAATAAATAACAAAATATGACTTTAGTAACTGCCATTTTTATGGGGGTTACATCCTCCCTCCTCAAACCCTGTTCTCTCCGGGAACATAACTAAAAGGTAAAAGTTAGTCCAATTAAAATCCAAAAATCTTCAGCCTTAACCTAGCAAATAACCCAGAGGAGGTAGCTGATCGTGTCGTAGGATCGCCCAAATCACGATATACCATGCGCTGCGGCGGCTTGGAAGAGCGAGTTGAGCGTCGGATGGATTGCGGCTCAGAATCTGCGTCTGTAGCACTAGGTTCGGTGCCTGGTAAGACACCAGGTACATCGATAGACACAAAGGGATTCTCAAGAGATATATTACCCATTTGGTCGACGGGGTCAGCACCCATCTCTTCGCTATCCATATTCTCCCTCCTCAGAATCTGGTCCCCATAACCTACTTCCTCGGTCCTTTGTTGGGGCTCTATCAGTTCAGGAAATTCATTCAAGGGAAATAATACTTCTTCATCACTTTCTAGGGACATAGGTTCAATCATACTTAGTGCTGGACTGCCATCTCGGATACTTCCTTCATCACTTCCATCTTCCACTATAATTGGGGATGGGATCTCAGGAATGGGCCTTACCCTATCTGGGACAAACTCAGGGGCATCCACACGGAGGCCAGGGGCAGGTAGGGTATTGAGTTGGGACATTGGCATCTCTGGGAAAAGCAGAGCGACACCCTCATCATCCGAGACAGGTTCATCACTTGAGTGACTCAGTTCGGCGGCTAGAACCTGTTTGGATCTAGTCCGATGTGATGGACCTTTACGGACTCTTTCCACATTAGGGGAAACGGTCTCATTAAAATACTCTATTGGCAGGAGGAGATTTCTATGGAGGGTACGTTCTCGACCTTCTCCATTCTCCGGCTTTACCTTATAAACAGGCATGTCTGGGTTGATACGCCGTACAACAATTTGTGGCTCTCGAAACCACTTGTCGGCTAGCTTATGCTTGCCAGTCAGACCGACATTTCTCACAAGCACTCTGTCTCCTGTCTGGAGATCATTTTCTCGCACCTTAGCATCATACCTTCTCTTGTTGGCCTCGGCCGACTTATCTGACGCCTCAGATGCAAGCTTGTAAGCACGAGCGAGTTGTTCACGAAGTCCCTGGACATACTGAACGTGATCCGTGCCACTATGGTTGTCCGGACTCGTGCCAAAGCGCAAATCAACAGGCAGTCTAGCTTCCCTACCAAACATCAACAGGTATGGGGAAAAACCAGTGCTATCATGCTTTGAGCAATTGTACGCATGCACTAATGCACTTACGTACTTGCTCCAGTTTTGTTTCTTCTCTTCCTCAAGGGTCCCTAGCATACCTAGTAAAGTTCGGTTGAACCTTTCGGGTTGGGGGTCACCTTGAGGATGATATGGGGTGGTCCTTGACTTTTGGACTCCAAGGAGCCTGGTCAGTTCATATATGACTTTGCTCTCAAAGTCTCTGCCCTGATCGGAGTGAAGGCGTTGAGGCAGGCCATAATGTACGAAAAAGTTCTCCCATAAGACCTTAGCCACAGTCTTAGCGGTTTGGTCTTTTGTTGGGAAAGCTTGCGCATAGCGAGTGTAGTGGTCAGTTACCACTAGTATTGACTTTTTGTTAGAGCGGTCTGGCTCTAAGGACAGAAAGTCCATGCAGACCAGCTCCAACGGACTCGTCGTCTTGATACTAACCAGTGGTGCTGATGGGTGCTGATGTGATTTTCTTGCCACGCAACGGGGACAGTGCTTCACCCACTCTGTTATTTCGGCACTCATTTTGGGCCAGTAGAACCTGTCCCTAGCAAAGGCTATCGATCTCTCGATGCCGAGATGACCCACCTCATCATGAATGCCTCTCATAGCTTGCCTCCGGCTACTTGAGGGCAAGACGAGCTGATAATGAGTCTTCCCGAGAGAATCTAAGAAAGACCTATAGAGGATGCCTTGCCTCAGCACGAGCCTATCAAATTCACGGAGCATGAGCTTAGCATCATGATGTACACCATCCAACGAAGAAGGCTTCTTACCTTGCTCCACATGACTCCGGACCAGGTTCACGATTTGGTCTGCTTTTTGTGCCTGAGACCAGTCTACCTTGTTCAGGTCTGAGCCTTTTGCATACAGACTAGGAATGGACTCGGCACTAGCACAAAGGGTCTCTATCATAGGTCCATGCTTATGGGTGACCCGAGGCGTGGTACTTACTTCCGTCTTGGGGACAGCGTCGTACCGCTGGTACAGGGCACTTATGGCTTCCTGAGGGCAGGTTACATCGACATCATCCCTGAGCCGTGCCTCCAGGTCACTTAGCTTCCACTTTTGGCGCTGTTCGTATTCCTCATCCAAGGCAGGGTTTTGAGGCTTGCGTGACAATGCGTCAGCCTCAATATTTGCCTTACCTGGCTTATAGTGGATAGAGAAGTCGAAGCATGAAAGTGCAGCCAACCACCGATGGCCTGTGGCATCGAGTTTGGCTGAGCTTAGTATATAAGTAAGCGGATTATTATCTGTCATAATCCGTGTACCCTTAGCTCCGTACAAATAGTCCCGGAACTTGTCTGTAACTGCCCACTTAAGGGCTAAGAACTCCAGCTTGTGTGCCGGGTAGTTCTTCTCACTTGCTGATAAGCCTCGGCTGCCGTATGCAACTGGGCGGAGCTTCCCTTCATGCTCCTGGTATAGGACGCCACCCAGACCGTCACGACTCGCATCAACATGCAAAACAAAGGGTTGTGACAGGTCTGCGAAGGCAAGCACTGGGGCAGAAACAAGTAGTTTCTTGAGTGTTTGGAACGCATCCTCACACTCACTTGTCCAGAGGTCACTAATGGAATCATTAGCTCGTCTGGCATTAGGGTCAGGCTGCCTCTTTGGAGGTGGCTGCCCTCTCTTCTTTGGGTATACACACCCAATAGTGAGAACATTAAGTGGGCGTGATATCTTGGAGTAGTCCTTGATGAATCGCCGATAGTATCCTGCAAATCCTAAGAAAGACTTCACTTGCCTGATAGTTTCTGGTCTAGGCCACGTTGCGAGGTCTGCTACCTTGTCTGGGTCTGTCTGTACTCCCTCTGCCGAGACTACATGACCTAGATACTTGACCGACTCACAACAGAATTGACACTTCTCAGGGGATGCCTTCAAGCCAAATTCATGCATCCGATCAAGCACTCTACCCAGGCGCTCCTCCATCTCTTCCAGCGTTTTAGAGAAAATGATGAGGTCGTCCATGTACACAAGCACCTCCATCATGTTTAAACCTGACATGCACTTCTCCATCAAACGTTGGAAAGTGGCCGGTGCCCCTTTCACACCCTGGGGCATGCGCTCGAACTGGTAGAAACCTAGAGGACAGATGAAGGCTGTCTTTTCTTTGTCCTCTTCACGCATGGGGATCTGGTAAAAACCTGACTTCAGGTCTATCACCGAGAACCATTTGTTTCCATTAAGGCAATCAATGGCCTCCTGAATCAGAGGGACTGCATACTGGTCAGGAATTGTGCGTGAATTGAGGGTGCGGTAGTCTACGCACATTCTCAAACTCCCATTTTTCTTGCGAACAAGAACAATTGGAGAAGCGTATGGACTTCGAGACTCTTTGATTACTTTGTGGTCAAGTAGCTGCTGCAGATGTTGTTGCAGATCCTTCAAGTCTGAAGGGGCTACCCTCCTAGATCTCTCCCTGAATGGCGTGCTGTCGTTGACGTTGATCTGATGTTCAGCATAGGCAGAACATCCCAGGTCAAAGTCATGCCTGGAGAACACAGTTTTCCTCCGCCTACACTGATGTAGAAGGCGTTCCTTCCATTCAGGGGTTATGGGGCCCCAACTGATAGGGAGGTCCGCAACATCGATATCATGTGGAATGGTGGTGCCCATTTCTGCGCTGGTAGCAGAAGATGATGCATGGATGGCATTAGTAGAACCCTGATTGGGAGGTTGGCGGCACCACTCTGGGATGAATAGATCAGCCAGTGGGCAGTTCCCAGGGATGGTGATTTGCTTTGAGCTCTTATTGACAAGTAGAACTTCGACCTTACAAAAGGCTTCCCCAGGGACGTCAACCACCGAGGGTATCACTTCTAAGCCCTTTGCTAACCTAGTTGGGGAATGTGACTCAATGACCGCAGTCGCTGGTGCTCGGAGTGTGTTTCTACATTGACCTATTATGGTATGACTGCTATGAGGTGGAATATGAATTTCATGTTTCTTTCTTGATCTGATGGTGCCGAGTTTACCGTCGGCGGGGAGTGTCTGTTTCTTAGAGAGAGAAGAATAGATATCCTTACACACAGGACTGATTTGCAAAGTTTGTGCAAATCGAACCCCAGCTAACCTCTTACAGGACTCAAAGCAATTTCGGAAAAGACCGGAATTTGTCCCTATAACCACTGAATGGGTTCTTTGATGCTGAGCATCCGGCACTACTAGGGCTAGAGTACTGAACTGGGTTCCTGTCCCGCTAAAGGTCTTTTCAAATCCAATATTAACATAGGCATAGCCTAAGTAAGGTAGAGTTCCGTCACCGCCATGATAGAGCACTAGATCCCTCATAGGATGCAACTCTCGATCTAGCTTAGCAAATAAGCTCTTTTGAATGAGTGTGACCTGAGAGCCGCTATCTATGAGGGAAGTAGTCTCTATCCCATCCACCCAGCACTTTTGGGTGATACTGTCCCCAACCAGTCCTGGAGGAACATCGCATACTTGTTGGGGTGCAGTACTTAGGTGGACTCCTGGTCTCTCCTTACCTGGCGTCCTTTGGCGTTTTCCTGCTTGCCTAGAAATGAACTGGATCAACTTCTTGCTGATAATTTCAGGGGCAGCTGGGCTGTTGCATATTTTACTAATATGCCCTACCTCCCCACACTTGAAGCAAATGACCTCAGATGTGTTGCTGTGCGACCTGGGAGGAGTCTGCTTGGGAGGGGTGGATTCAGAGGGGGTAGAAGCCCGGGAAATTTGAACTGGGGCCTCCACACAGTTATGTGCAGCGGCACGCTTACCTTGGTCTACTCTTTGTTTCGGCCGAGTGAGGCTGGCCTTCATGGAGTCTTCTACCTCCTGCTTCCTTACAGAGGATAATAACTGCAGAAATGAAGGAGGGTGGATTAATTTATCACGGAGATGTAACTTGACCAGGAGCATCTCATTATACAAGACGCCCCTGATAAACCGTTTCAATCTTACCCGATTGGAGTCTGCCGGCTTGATTACTCCACGCCTCACTACCTGTCTCAGTATCTCCTGCAGGCGAGAAAGATACTCAGAGGGTCGCTCGCCCTCGAGCTGTGTGGTGTTATGGAATTTGACGAACAGCTCATCATCAGTGTTTGTATCCCCGTAGGCCAAATCTAAAGCCTTGAGGTACTCATATGAGTCCGCTTGGGGAAACTCACGACGGAGGTCAGTAATGATGCTCGACGCAGGAGGGCGCAGCGCCTCGCGAATGCGCTTTCGGCACTCGCCGTCTCCAAGATCCCGCCACTCATCCATCTGGCCCTCAACGTGCTCTATCCACAAAGGATATGTGTCCTCATCGCGCGCGGGGTTCCTCGCTCCTGAGAAACAGCGCAATTGTCTGTAATTTATTGTAAGCGCGCATTTTGATAATGACGCAGACAATGAAGGGACTTCCCGATCTGAGTAATTTGTGGCTGGGCTATGGCTACGGGAAACATTTTCTTTCTTGGAAACCTCTTCCTTAAGCACTGTGGCCCCCTTAGCTTTCATCCATTCGTCTACCAACCCACTATCCTTCAGGTCCTTAATGGTTATCCTACCTACTTTGGAGGGGTCGCTCTCTTCTAACCTAACTACATGGCACACAGTGTCTCCATCTACGGAAATGTGTATCTCCCTCCCTACACCTACAACGGGAGAGGCTCCCTCAAACATACAAAGTATCAATGTTTCATTATTAGTTGGCTCATTCTTTCTGAGTATGCCACTTAACGTGGGAAATCGATCCGAAATTGCCAGGGCAAATACCTCATCAGGCATTGCCATAGTTGGTGTCACAAGTAGGAGGGCATTATCTGCCGTTATTCCCTCCTCCTTGCACCACTCCTGCCCAAATTCTTTCAAACTGTTCGCTGCCATTGCTTCTACTAACTTGTGCAAGTGTTGGCTCTTAAACTCTTAACTATAATGACAAAGACATGTACAATGCCTTCAACAATGTATAATACTAATTGCTTACACTAGCAATTAAAACTTAATAATCGGAGAATATTAATTAATTACAAGGTAATTATAAAGTATCTATCAAATAAGGAATATTAATTATGCATATATGCAAATTTAGTTCCCGGACAAGCCCCCAATTTATGTAACCCGAATGTCACAATTTCCCAGGTCCATAAATAAAGAAATCACACTTGAGGTTACGTTTTAACAAAATAACCTGGCAATGCCTTTATTAGCTCGTTGTCAATAACAACTGCAAATCAAGTAAACATTGAAATAAACAAAACTTCCACATCTTACATCTATAACATTATAAGGTATTATAACTTATAACTAGAACAGCTGTTATCTAAATATTTAAGTGACCAAATTATTAAATGTTCATAAGCTCGCTCGCGATACGCGGTCGATCAATATCCGGCGTCTCTGTGTCGTCGAAGAGGACGTCGCAGCACGCAGAAAACAAGAACAGGTCGAACGATAGCTTGAAGCTCGATGAGATTCATCAATTAAAAGACCCTAGTAAAAGAGCATAATAAACAGAACTCTTCTAATAAAACATTCCTTAAGAGAGGGAAAGATAAATATATATATATATATATATATATAAACAAGCTCGTCCCTCAATAGATTAAATTTAGAAAAGAATGACAGTTTGCCTCTTGATTTATCTAATTAACTTTGGAAGAATCAATGCGATTCTGTCAACTTAATTTACTCAGTTATACTTATAACTTAGTTTAATTCATGATTAACATGATACAATCCTTTTCAAAATAGCACTTATACCACGTTAGTAAATATAAATAAAATATGTATACATCACAATAATTGCATGCAATGAAGATAGCATAATGCACCAACTGTTCAGTAGAGTTTTCATTCATATCATTATGAGCTATAATGAATGCGATAGGGATGCCACAGATAGATAGCTCGATCTATCTGATTGACCTGACCATATCGCTTGATTTAGAATTTGCCAAAATAACATTTGACTTTTACAATTAATGGAAAAGTCCAGCAAATGAATATGCATAATAATGCTCCACGCTGCGCATAACCATAATGAACAGCAAATACACATTACCAGTAAATCAGTAGATAAGGTTAGTAAATCTTATCTACAACCAAGTATCTCAAACCACCAAATTTAGTGAGAGTTCAATGACCTCTAGCACGAGTTGCCATTACCCTAAATAAAAGCCAATTATCTTTCAGCATGGGCTATTTTAGGGCTTGCATGCTATGCAGTATAATAACTGCAAAATAATCTCCCATAATAATCTTTTCTTCTCATTTAACTGAATTGTTTGATCAGCAGAAAGAATCAATCTTGTATAACACACATCTGAATTAAAAAGGTTATATAATGTATGCTACAGTCTCAAACTACACTCAGAGTCATACAAGCAAAATATAGATATCATCATGATATACACACTTCATACAACAGAGTAATGAAAACATACATAGCAAAATATAGTGTTCTTACCTAGTAAAAGAGCCAACACTTGCTTGCAATATAAAATCAGGAACTGGGATGATAACCATGCAACTCATAAAGGTTGAAGTTGGATGAAATGCCCAATCAAATATAATACAGGAAACTCTCTCAAAACTTAGAGAAACTTGAAGAAGGTAAAGTTGATATATACGTTTTGTATATATATATATATATATTTTGAAGAAGAAAATCAGGTAGAGGCTACAGATATATTTAGTAGCACATGCTCCAACATGGAGATTGAATATATACAGGGCAGTGTTCGAAGCAATGGCAGCTGGGCAGAGAATGAGCTGGAAACTTAAAGTTTCAAAGTTTTATCAAACTGTCCAGACCCACATTACCCTTCCTTCCAACTAGACTTCTTATTGGTTACCTAACATCATGTGATAGGACCAAGCTTGCATCCTTAACTAAAACAACCCATCCTTTGTCTCAAACCCAATACTCCAAGCCAGCTCTCTACAGCATGGTCTAAAAAGCTCGTCTAGATCTTTTCTTAGTACAACCACTTAAAACTATACTTCTTCTGAATACAGAGATTAACAGTAGCAACATCCTGAAGGGACACAATCTACCTGCAAACACCACTTAAGTAAAGAGGGTCCTATTAAAGGGAATAGACAAAGGGGAAAGGGCACCGAATTCTGTGGGAGACAATATAATCCCAAACACTGTGTCCAGTGTTATTGATGGTCAAAGCTCTAGCAAATAAGCTATCTACCAGCAATAGTTCCTAAACTGGGAGAAGAAAATAATCTGGGTGAGAACAAACCTATATTGCACTAAACTGCATAAGGAGCACAAAGCAGAGTTTGTTTCTTAGAAGTATGAGATGAAATGAATGGATACAAAGAGAGAGAGAGAGAGAGAGAGAGAGAGAGAGAGAGACAAGAGAGAGATAGGAAAAGAATAAATAACAAAATATGACTTTAGTAACTGCCATTTTTATGGGGGTTACATGTACTTTTGCAAATCTAACAAAATTCTTGTCTAAAAATCGCTGTGGTTAACATTTTAGTAAATGTTTTGTGTCAAAAAAATATTTTGGTAGTACTGTAATATTAGGCACAACTCCGATCAAGAGTACAGACACGGTCAAATTTCCACTCTTTGCCTTCATCTTCTCCTCTTGTCTTATTTCTTATCTTTATCTCTACTTTTATTCATCTTTTTATTTTCAATTTCTCTTTGAATTCCTGCCATCTTCTCTTCTAGCCTCAACCCCTCTCATCCTCCCCTCCTGTCATTGTTTTACTCTTCTCTTTATCTCCGTCTCGTCTTTTCATCCAAACATGAATGTCTCCTCCTCCTCCCTCTCAGCACTCACCTCTTCTTCATCATCTCATCTTTCATCAGATCTACTATTCTCTTGCAAACCTAACCTTTTTGGTCTCCTCCTCCCTTCTATCATGGCACTCTACTCTTCTCTTTCATATTCCCTTCATCTTCCTCTCTTCTTCTCTCCTCCTCCTCTTCCTCTTCCCTCTCAGTACCCATCTTTCCTTCAACATCATCCCATCTTCAGCACTTTTATATTCATCCTACAATGTACTCTCCTCTTTCATCTTCTCTTCATCTTCTTCTCCTCTTCTCATCCAACCCTTTCCGTCTCCTCCTCCTCCCCTCCTGTCAGCGCTCATCATCTGAAGTGATTGAGTCATCTCATTTCCCGCATCTCAAGTCTACCGGTCTCATTACCTCATCTTCTTATGCCGAGGCATGCTCTGCCTCTTCCCATCATGCCAAAAGCACCCATTCTTAAAGGCAATCTTACGTTCTAGTAATGACGCAAGAAAAACCTTTCTGATTTGGATAGCATCTTGATCACGCGATACTGACGTTCTGACGTCAATTTCTACATTTCGAACACAAATCACAATTTAACTTCTACTTTGGACCAGACACTACACCTGACTATAATGTCACATGCCCTAAACCGAACTTAAAACTTTTACAACCCAATGTAAGCCAACAATATAGAATAAATTTTAAAGCTTATCTGTACTAGTGTACAGGAGGGATTAGACCTCCCTGCAAGGTCACTGACAGGTGGTTATCTCATCAAAACAGCTCTCAATTAACAAAAAAAGAGGATCATGGGGGACCAACAGGCACCGATTAGGCATTGTTTGCTATATACAGGGAGCAAGTAGCTATAAGTAGTGCAGTGGGGCTTTAAAAGTTGTAAAACCCAATGTAAGCCTACAATATGGAATAAATTTGACACACTGTACATAATATCATCTCATGACCAGATCTAACATTTATCTTTAAATCTACCTTTGCAAAGTAAGTGCCACTTACGTCAAATCAAAGAGCGAGACCTGCATTAGCATGAACATGCTTCACAGCTCATGGTTACATTCATGAATGTGCATGTACAACTCTGAAGAGTTATAGCCTTGCTCTCAGGCTATAGCACCTTTATCCCTGAGGTGGGTTGAGTCTGGAATCGAGAATACTAACTCTATAATTAACTTTTGCTCGCCAGCCACTGACCTCTTCAACATTAAATTTTAAAAAAGTTTAAGAATCCAATTTACCTAAAGCTATGTATTCAAAAAGTAAATCTAATTTGAAAAGAAGAAAAAATCTTAACAGATGAGGTGTTTAAAATATTCACTTCTGAATAATAAATGCCTACATGTATAAACCTAAACAAGAACAACAACAACTGTATAATAAAAACCAGAAACTTTCATGTGCAGGAAATTATGGCAGATTTTTTTTTACTGTGGTTCAGATTGGTGAAAGTTTCATGGTGCAAAATGAAGAACCACTATTTCCATGAAACTGAGGTTTTGCACTTCCCAAAAGCTTCTTGCGACAAAAATTGCTCTTTCACATCGGAAATGGTTTCTTTGTAAAAGAAATAGTATCCATGCAGCTTGATGTGGATCCAGGTATCTCATCATGGGATGGCAGGAAAACATCAGAAAGAGAGGGAATATGATGCATCGCCTTGAGCGCATCCATGGAAACAAAAGTATATAGCAGATGAGACTGTAGCTGTTGTACTAAAAGTACATTGAAGCATGGACCTATTGAAGTATGAAAGGTAGCATTGGTAGCAGATTGAGTAGGTACCTACAACTGTATCACTACGCAGAAGTCCAGGGGAGTGTTTCGCAAAGACTAAGATCGACTTTAAGTTGGACTTGGTGAAAAAAATACACGGGGGCTTGGGGCCAATTAGCCCCCAAAATTTGCATAAAGTTCAATGCAAAACAATGCCAGGAATGGTTAGAGGAACTAGTGGCATGAATGGCCTGTCATAGTTAAGTCCAACTTAAAGTCGTTCTTAGTCTTTGTTAAACACTCCCCAGGACGCTCTATAGGCCTGCCTTCACTAGCTCGAGATTGCCAAATATCCCGCTATTTGAACTATGCGATCGCAAACTATCCAGCTAATTTGCGTCTTCATCAGCCCGAAGTTGCAATTAGCAGGTTATTTGGTCGGGATTGTCATTCCAAGATGTCTTGGGATAGTTTGCAAAATATCCCACTATTTGGCAAAATATCCAGCTATTTGTCCGGTGCGACATTTCTCAAGGTAGCGTTTCAAGTTTTGAGGTCGAATCTCGAGCTGATGAAGACGCAATTTGTAACTTCTGGATTATTTCCCAAATCAGAAATAGCGGCTATTTGGCAATCTCGAGATAATGCAAACGCTCTGTGATTTACAGGCCCTTTACATGCATACCAAGAGGAAATGTGATACACAGCATAAAGCAAAACCCTCCCATACAAATAGTTTCAATTCTGTATCGCTTACAGCAAAAACAGTTCTCAATTACAGGCCAAGTGCTTTCAAGTAGCATGTGACTGTACACAGTCCATTAAAGCTTTTCAGAGCAGTCCTGAGTTGGCAGGCACAAACTCTAGTCAATCGTAGTATTTAAAGAGAAGGTTGAGTTCTGGGAAGAGGTGAAAAATAATTTGTGAATATTACTCATTCTTATTATGCAAGTATGGAAGAACATCAGTTAAGACATGTTCCCTGAAAAGCATGGCTCTTCAAATGCCTTCATATTCTAAATATGCATGTAACATCGTAAAAATCGGGGGCCGGCTTTTTACGCCACGTGTTCGTGTAGTCCCATATACATCTTTCTGTGCAAGTGTTTGTAATTTTACCAAGACTTGGCCAAATTTCTTATCATTTTGATGATTCCAGAACCTTGCAATACACACAAATTTTTATATGCTAGATGATCAACCTTTTCTGGTCGGTTCCACACCGTTTCTTTCACAATGCAATCGCATGACCAGAACTCAACTTCATCTTTAAAGGTAAAGACCAGTTTTGGAAACGCCCCCCCCCCCCTCCCCCCTCTCAAAAAATGAAATGGAAGCTCTTATTACCAATCATGTGAAAGAATATGTTTTTACTAATACGTGATGATACAAATTTTGCAGAGAAACTGCCTACCAATTGATATATTAAGTAAATTATTAAATCTATTTGGACCTGATAGATATCTTTCTGTGTACAGTGCTTTTAACTTTACCAAGACTGGGCCAAATTTCTTATCATTTTGATGATTCCAGAACCTTGCAGTACACCAATACTTACATGTATATGCTAGATGATCAACCTTTTCTGATCGATTCCACAATGTTTCTTTCACAATGCAATTGCATGACCAGAACTGATCTTTACCTTTAAAGTGGAAGTCCATCCTTATGTAAAGCTGTTTTTTATAACAGAAGCAGAAAAATGAGAATAGCAGGTCAGTGAAAGTTTGAGCAAAAACTGATTAAAAATAGGTTAATTGGGAATTTTTTAATGTGCAATCAATCAACACAAATTGGCAACTCAGTGACATATCTTGTGAGCTCCCCTCCTATTTGCCCTGTACTAAAAAACTTCAAAACTTCATATTTTCCTTTAAGAAAATTTTCAATCATATATTCACCCTAAATATAATTATTGCAAACATGTTTTTATACAACCCATGTATGAAACAAAACTACTCTGTCATGATTACATGTATAAAACTAAGATAAAATGTTCTTTCCAGAGTTCAAAGTTAAATAGTTTAGTTGGTGAAGGATATCAACAACAGAGCAGAAGTCTCTATTAAATCATGTGTCATACATGTAAAACCGTCATAAACAAAGAAAATGAACAAAGCTATTATTACAAAAACAAATCTGAAGCAAATCTGATAGAAGATAAAAGAGAGCTATGAACATCTAAAGAAAACATCGATAAAACTCAATTTGGCAATTCTATGATTTCCCATGCGAGCAGGTCTCCATTTCAATTGTAACGAGAATTGCCTGAAAGGGATATCTGTCTTCTTTGGCTAGGATACAGAAACATGTGAAAACATGTGACAAGCAATACATACATGTACATGTACATGTACAAGGCAAATTAAGGTACATGGATGATAAGATATATTCTTTGGAGAAAATGCTAGTAATTTAAAAAGATTTCACCACAAAACAAATTTAGGAGAAAAGGCTATGTGACTCTATCATACAAAATATACAGTATGTACCGATAATAGAATAGATCTACATGTACATGTACATGTACACAGTATGTCAATTTGTGTTGTAAAGTGTACCAGAATGCTCTTTTGGGGGCACAACAAAATATGCTGTAATTCTCTTCAATTTTCAACTTGAATAGTAAGAAATCATTTCATCCAAGTTTGTCTTATTCTTACTTCCGATATAATTTTGGGTCATTTTTGTGTGTACCAACTTTAAGAACAATAGCCTTTTTCAATTACTAGTACAAAGAAAAGTGAGATGTATGACTTAATGATTGCAATCTCATTGATCACAAACCTGTTGACTTTTTGTCTCCCATCTGCTGGTATTTGCACTCTTACCACATCTACACATGTAATTGTACCATGTGTTATGGGAGCACACCTAAAGGCAGGTACATGTAACCCCCCCCCCCCTCCAACAAAAATAATAATAATCATA